TCCTTGCTGGGGCTTTTCGACCATTTTGCTGTTCAGGGGTTTGGTGGTTGAGGGGTTCAGGGGTTCTGGATTCAGGGTTGAGGGTTTATAGGGTTGAGGGGCTAGAGTGTCAGGGTTCAAGTCTCGGATGCGCAGGGCTTGATGTCAGCTGAAGCTGACTTAGGGGTTTGAGTCGGGCGGACGTAGCGTCTTGGCGGTCCGGTAGCTTATACGTAGGGTTATAAGCATGAGAAGTAGAGGTCGAACTTCAATTTGGGCACTTACTCCTCTACTTGTACCTACCCAGGAGCCTCTAAGTGCTGGAGAAGGCTTGAGGGTTTAGTGATTGAGTGGGGGAGGAGGGAACTGCTGGTGCACAAAAGTCACCCGTTAAATGTGGTACCAGGCTATTGAACCCTGAGCTGCCATTAAAGAGTCGGCTCAGGGTTGAGGTCACAGAATCCTGGTTTAATGAGCCCTAAGCCCTTAGCCCTAAACCCTAAACCCTAAACCCTAAACCCTTTTCATGAAAGGCTTCAAGGATCCCAGGCCTCCCCTGACTGCCGAGCTCCAAGGCAGCACTCCTTGCAATGGGAAGTTCTACTTCAAGACCCGGCTAAAGATCGGGTGTGGAGCCCAGTCAAACCCTAAACCCTAAACCCTAAACCCTAAACCCTACACCCTACACCCTAAACCCTAAACCCTAAACCCTAAACCCTAAACCCTAAACCCATTCGAAGTGTTCATCCTTGCCTCCATGCTGTCCCTATGCTCTTGTAGAAAGGACCACTGACCCAGGAATGATCAGACTTAAGCCTTAAGGATTGGGCTCCCTGAGCTGCGGTTGTGATGCGAATTGCACTGTGATGGCAGGGACACTCCTGGCCGTATGGGGTTTAGGGTTTAGGGTTTAGGGCTTAGGGCTTAGGGCTTAGGGCTTAGGGTTTAGGGCTTAGGGTTAACCTAGGGGGGGGGGGGGGGGGGGGGGGGGGTAGTGGAGAGGGGGGGAGTCGGGGAACCCGTGAATATTGGAGTACTGCACGCTGTCATCTGTTTTTTAAATGCTTCAACTGTTTTCTTGATTGGAAAGCAGTTTTCCGCAACCATTACAGAGGGCGAACATGGTTAGCTACGCGCGAAGGCAATCCTGAATGCATATCTATGGCCCCTCACTCCTCGCGGAGAGCCTTTTGTTTTGATTCCAGCCTAAACAACACCTAAACCCTAAACCCGGCCGGTACTAGTCCCTGCAATGTGGCCTGAGTGTCAGCTAGGCGGGTGGCAACAAAAACCCTAAACCCTAAAACCCCTCGGGGGGGGGGGGGGGGGGGCTTGCAGGCCTGGGGTGGAGCTAGCGACCCCGGCCCGCGCGAAGCTGGAGGAGGCTGGGGTTGGCTCTTGGCTCCCTAAAAGGTTTAGGGGTTAAGGGTTTAGGGTTTAGGGGTTTAGGGTTTAGGGTTTAGGGTTTAGGAACCCTAAGCCCTAAAAGGCTGTAGCGTTTGAAGGCTGATGGGATGTCAGACTGATTTGGCCATCTTCCCTAGGGGCGCAAAAGACTGCGGAAGGCCTGCAGCATGACCCCATACCATTATGCCCTTTGCAACCCTCCAAATGGTATGTAAATCTAGGGGTTTAGGGTTTAGGGTTTAGGTTTAGGGTTTAGGTTTTGTAAATCCTAGACCTTTGGGGGTTTAGATGGTAACCCTGGTTGCTCAAGTCGGCCCTGTGACACAGGCACTTGCAGATTGGCAAGAGACACGTCTTCTGCGTGCCGGGCGCCCAGCGTAATGTGACATCGCAGCGTCTCTTTCGCACGTGGCCTCTTTTCTTCAACCGATGGTTCATGAACCCACTCCTTCAGCCTAAACCCACACGATTTAAAGCCCGTTGACAGTTCGGGCAGATTTCTTGCATTGCAGGAGTAGTATTGTCCACGAAGCCACAATGTAGTTGGGGTTTCGGCTTTTCTTTCCAAATCTCGCGTGATGTGTCCTGTGCGTGGAAGACCCTCTGGTGGGCCTTCCGGGACGATAGCTGTAATCAGAGCGAAGAGCTTCGACCGGAACAATGCACCGTGATGTATCATACGCAATATATAGTTTTCAAAACTGTGTCTCTCTCTCTATATACATTTATACATCTATAGCTACTTTGTAATGCGCACTGTATCTCACCAAGATGGCAGCCTTTCTCAACAGGCCACAAAAGACACGATGCCGACTCACGACGCGCGTGCTGCCTTTGCCAAGAGATGCCTGCGTCTCAGGGTGGGTGCATGCGTGGTGTGACGTGCTGGTAGAGCCTGGTAGAGATGTCGCATTTTGCTTGTCATGCTTGTCCACATGACCGTTGGCGGTGTTGGAGCCTTCGGCTCTGAGTTCCTGTGTTTCAAGCCGACGGTGCTGTGTATATACTCATTAAGTAATGTCGGCCCATGGACCCACGGCGCTGTCGGCTGAAGATGTCCAGTTCTTCCACGAGAACGGCTTCTTGCTGAAGCGTGGCTTTGCGACATCGATGGTGGATGCACTCATCCAAGCTGCCGAGGACCTACTACTTGCTTAATTAAGAACCCAATTTTTTTTAACAAATCCTTATCCCTATCTTCCCTTATATGGAAGAATATGTCTGATTTCGGGGGGTTCTTAAGCAATTCGTAGGAGGTGCGCGACACTCCGAATCCGGAGGTGGCGTACTTGCAGCACTGGGAGCTCAACTCGGAAGGCCTCCGCGTGTTCTGCCGTTCGGAGAACTTTGTGAAGCTCAGTAAAGTAGGCAACCTTTCATCTTTTATAATCTCTTTAGGGGTATTCTAATCCCTATACAGTTCCAAGGGTTAAGCTTTACTTCCCCCAGGTTACTGGACAACTAAGGAAGTACCACGACACCTGGAAGGCCTTTTGTGAGGGGCCCATCCAGACGGCTTGCAGTGAACTCTTTGGCGAGCCAGCAGTGCTCTTCAAGGAGAAGATCAACTACAAGCAGCCAGGAGCGATAGTGTAGCTTGTACTCGGGTTTAGGGTTTAGGGTTTGGGGTTTGGTGTGCGCGGGATTTTTTTTTTTGGGGGGGTCATTGGGGGGGGGGGGGGGGGGGAGGGTGTCATTGGCGGGGGGATTATGAGTCCTAGGTAGGATAAGGGGGACCCTTAACGGGTAACCCTTCTAAACCCTCTTCTGGCTCTCTTAAACAGGGAGTTTATTCAGAGGGTCCATATCCCCTAGGGTCCCCCTAATCTTACGCCCTAATGAGTAGATATTTTTGGGTTTAGGGTTTAGGGTTTAGGGTTTAGGGTTTAGGGTTTAGGTATAAGCAAGCAGCTCAAAAGGGTCTCAAAGATTCTTTGCAGCTCAGAGCTCGTCCTAGAAGCAAGCTTCGTCCTTCATGGTGAACACCTTAGCACTTGGGATGTTCCCCCGTATGCCTAACAGTCCTTAGTAGGTATTATAGTACCCCCTTACGAAATTCCCTAGCAAGGGCTGTGAGTATAAGGGGGAACAGCCCAACCTAGCACAGTTCCGGGCAACCACTTCAAATTAGGTCCTGCCCGACGGGCTCTGAATGAATCCGAGAAAGGTTCGTGATCCCTTACCTTCATGATAGTCGCATTGGGTTTATGACCCCAATGTTAGGACACATCCATTGTTCTCTATTCATGCCACGCTTCACCAGGAGGTGCCGGATGGACAGCGCACCAGGATACCCCGGCCTACATCAGCATGGCGGAGGCAAACGAACAATGAACACTTCCGGGTGCACGGGTGGGGTATCCAAGCTTGTTGGGGTTAAGCGCTATCCTGGCCTGTCGGGGTTAAGTGGGTCACAATATGAACCTGTACATGGACCCTTTACCGACTGCTGCAGAGGATCACATCACCGCCATGATGACGCTGGACGCGCAAACGGAAGAGAACGGAGCGCTTCAGGTGTCGCCAGGTCGCTGGCTGAAGGGCCAAGTGGAACTCGCGGAGGGAGGAGTTATCAAGGATCCCTCGAAAATGCGATTCCAGACGATACTTGCCGAACCTGGCGATATCATGTTCTTCACAGGCTACCTTCCGCACCGGAGCTTTGAGAACAAGACCAGGCAGCAACGCCGCGCAGCCTTCTTGACGTACAATCCGGCCTCTCAAGGAGACTGGCATGACTCCTACTACGCTGAGAAGCAAGCGGAATCACATGGGTTCAACATGGCTGAGAAGCTAAGCTTCTCAGGCGGTGTGTTCCAGGGCAGGCTCACTGCCTAATATTCCAGGGGTCAGAGGAATTGCTACTAGTATCCCCTTTCTAACTATACTAGAATGACCTCAAAGCCCTCTTCTACTTACTCAGGCACAAAATACTATATTATCTCGATTGTCATGACACGTGGTATGATCCAAGACCGGTTCCCTGCCTATAGTCGCAATGGGCGCACGATGGGAGTCGTCAGAATGTGCGTTCTCGTCCCTTGGTCGGACGCGGGGTTTCCCACAAAGGTCAACTTTTTTGCGGTTCCTACATTGACATGGATCCCGGTATGTTGGAAGTAGAAGGATACCTGTTCGTATTTTGGGAAACTTTCTGCCCAGTTTGTAGCGAACTCAGGCCAGGAGCCACTCTTTACGAGACCAGACGTCTGGACACCACGCAGGCAGAAAGTCTCCTTTCTGGGGTTTTGGGCTGCGGGTTGGCCTTATACCAGCAGTCCTTCATAGGGATTCTAACCAGGGGGGGGGGGGGGTGAGGGGGTACTAGAATCCCCACTAAGGACTGTTAGTATAAGGGCGAACATCCCAAGTTGCGGGCATACTTCTGATGTTCTGTTGGCTTGATACTTTGTTGCCTTGCTGCCAATGGCGTTTGGCAGGCTAAGCAAGGTTTGGGAGTCCCAGAGCACAAACATGGTACGACACCCGACGGCCTCGCCGCTATTTCGGCTCAAGGGGTGCTTGCTGGTTGTGACACTAGCTATAGACTCGGGCTTCATCAGGATTCAGTTTGCTCTCCACGGAAAGTGCAATGCTAGCCTGGATAAGCTAGAATGGCTTGCAACCACGAGTGGTTTCACAGATTGCTTGTCGGTTGCGATATGCCAGCGTGGCACCATGCGCTGACAATCTTCGTTGCGGCGACAGTGTTGGTACAGGCCAAGCCCAAAACATATCCACAGCACTCCTCGAAGGTTCATTGGAAAAAAGAAGGTGAATGTGCGAAGGGGCCTTGCGCAGGGTTCCATCCAGACGAGAATGACGACTGTGTGAGCCACTGCGTTTCTGATGCCTGCTATGCGGAAGTCTACGCAGGAGATCCCTTGGAGCCCGGAGAAGTGGATCGCACCAGACAAACAAGATTCAACACATGCGTTCGTAAAGAGCATGATGATGAGAACAAGCGGCTTGTGGAGGAGCGAAAAGCTGCGAAGGCTGCGGGGTGACTGTCCAACAAGCTGTCAATGTGCAGAATGAAAAAAAAGCTTGAGCTGACTCACTGCCCATCCGCGGCGCAAAAAGGAGGAGAAAAAAAGAAGCCCGGCTGGATCAGCCCACTGAGTCGGAGCTTCGCGAAGTAAGCCGTGGATCTCGTCTGCCCTTCCAGCCAAAGCGCCTTCTGGGGGCTAAAGCCCTAAAGAATCCTCAAACCCTAAACCCTATAAGCTCTAACAACCTACACAACCCTACACCCTAAAACCCCTCAATTCTAAAATTGAGCCCGCAACTCCCATGCAGCTGCCTATCCGTTGTGCCAGGCCTTTCCCTCCGGTCGAAGGCACAGGGGAACGGATGGGCTTCGGATCTATGGTTGCCCAGGGTTTAGGGTGTAGGGTTTAGGCTTAGGGAAGCCCAGATAGGTTTGGGGTTTGTAGGGTTAAGGGTTTAGGGCTTGGATGCAAGTTTGAGGTGTTTTTTTTAGCTTTCTGGCTCAAGGGTGTGATTTGGTGTTCTTCGTGGTCCAACAGGTAGCCCGGCCGAGTCAAGCGAAGTAGAGCAGATTCCACCACTGTTCAGGTCCCGGCTTCGGGTTTGGGATGCAAGGCCTAGGGTTTAGGGTTTAGGGTTTATAGGGTTTAGGGTAGCATCATATTCTGTCCACGCTGCGAGTTGAGGGTGCCCTCCTCTCCACTTGCGGAACCACAGCACTGCAACATTCCACTACTATTCGCTTGAGAACCCCAAAAGAAGAAACAATTATCCCGAAATTACCCTCAACAAGGAAGAATATGTTTTTATTTTTTTCTGGGTTCTTAAGCAATTCGTAGTCCAGGTTGGAGTTGCCGTCTGGTTCCGAGATTTCTTCTTGGAGTGCTGGCCATGCCATGTCGAACACTCACTTACTCACTAATCTTAGACGGGGGTCTTGAGCGCGCACACACACACACACATTTATACTGCATTTCTGTAGATGGAGTGGGTTGGAACAGGTATATGTATACACAAACACCCGCACATACGTACATACGTACATACATACCTACATGCATACATAATATGTCATACATATGTACATATGCACATATAAATATAAATATATATATATATATATATTCGTGGGTATATGTCTATACAAAAATATATTTTTTATGTGTAGTTTAAGTCTTATGCTTTCGACACATGTGCAAGCATATGTTTACACCCTGCCCCTATGTTGCATCGCCGCAGGACCGGCGCCGTCAGCGAAAGGCCAAGACAAAGACCTGCGCCTCGATACTTTCGGCGGAGTTTATCCGGCCACCACGCGGCCCATGCCCGACTGATCAGAAATCGTTGTTGATGAAAGGCCCTGCTTCAACTTAGGGCTTCTATAGGGGTGTTGGTGTTTTCATGTTGGTGTTGTTGCGCATAGTGACACTCTCGAGCTTCGGTTCATGGTCAGTAGCTGCAGCTTTCTGGTCAGCTTCCTCCACACTGCTGCCGCTGTATCTGGGCGCAGGAAGGATCCGGGCTGTTTGCGGCAGAGTCTCGCACATGCCGTAGACCCTGGCATCGTTGTGAAGATTCTTTGGGGGGTTAGGAAGAGGCCTTATTCGGCGAATCAGATCCCACTTCCATCCGAAGTTGCACGCGCAGGCTACAGGACTGCACGCACCGGTGGTGGGAAAAGAAAACCTGCAGAATGTGTCATCCAAGGGGCGTACCGGAGGTTCTGAAGGGGGCAGCTTTCAGGGGAAACCCTAAACCCAAACCCTAAGCCCGTGGTTCAGACAGGCTTGCTGCACCTATGAGGATCGGAGAGAACACAGTGAGCACAGCGACGCCACAAGGGCCTTAAGGAGGCCTCGCTGTCTCAAGCCCCAAAAGGCTCAGCTCCGTCAGTTGATGTAGTTCCATTTTGGGCTCACTACATGGGGGGGGGGGGGGTATAGTGCACTACCCTAACAAGGTACTACACTTGAGCCTTTAGGTACCGGCCACGCTGTCGCGACACGGAACGAGTTAAGTCTCCCAGAAAGAGGCCGCTGCGGGAGCGCGATTTCGAGTACAGAATGCAAACGGGACCTTCAGTGGACCCTACACCCGAATTAAACCCTAAGCGAAGAAATTAAGTAAAAACCCTTGCACCCTGGAATCCTCCTGTTTCATGCGAGTGAGCGTCGGCACCTTTGATCTACCCCCTTGTACCTTAAAACCCCCGCCCTAAAGCCCTAAACCCCTATAAACCAAACCTAGAACCTAAACACACCCCCGACCCAACTCGAAACCCTAAACCCTAAACCCCAAACCCTAAACCCTGCAGTGGGCCAGGTGAATCACACCTGTCCCCTCTGCCGAGCCGATCTCGCAAACAGCAAGGCCCGGACTGTTCTTGGGGGTCAGGGTTGGGCTGCGCGTGCGGGTAGGAACCCAAAACCCTAAACCCCACCAAATTTTACGGTTCACGAACGTACGGTTCAGCGTGATATTGGTCACTGTTTAGGATGCTCTGTCCTGGCTGTGCTGCGTGACCAGAGGTCAGGGTCAACGCCATTTCGGCCTGACGGTTTTAGTGTTTAGGGGAAGGGTTTTCGGGTGAGGCTTGAGGAAGGTACGATGTCTGGTTAAGGTGTCACAAGGCTTGAGCTTGAGGGGTGTCCAGTTTAGATGTCATCGAGATCTTGCTGGAAGATTTTTGCGCAGCTTTCACGGGCTACATGTGATGGCGTTCAGGCTGAAACCTGAACCCTGAACCCTTCTATCCTATAGCCTAAACCTCTTCCTGCTAGACCCCTAAACCCTGAAAGCCAAAACCAGTCTGGCCCTGAGAAAGGGCACGTGGTTCCAGAGACCACTGGCAAGCACAGCCTACATGAAACCGTAAACATGGGGTTTACGAGTTTTCTTTCATCTTCAAGTAGGGTTTCTGTCTTACAGGGCCTATGTCCGGGGTTCTTATTCGGGTACAGATACAGTGGCCACCGGCCTTTACAAGGTGTGTGTATATATATATATAGATATGTGTAAGGTATGTCGAGTTTCGCGTTTATAGCAGGCATCCCTAAAAAGCCCCCCCACCCCCCCACCCTCCCCATATGCTGCTTCAGAGGTCGAATCGGCAGTCTTGGGCGCAACGCTGGAAGATGTGGGCTCCGTCTGACCTTGCCTCGAAGAATGAGGGGCCAATGCAATGCAAAGTGGGGGTCTACGAAAATAAGGGACCCCTAATATACACCCCCAATTAGGATTCCCTTGTAATATACACCCCCAAATAGGATTCCCTTGTAATCAGGACCCCAATAAGGTACCCCCAATTTCGGAAACCCCCAAGTAGTCGGCTCAAGGTCAAAGGTCAACACATGCTCACGTCGGGTGTGACACTGCATGAAAATGGTGCTGAACATGCCAAGTCGCCATTCGGCCTAGAACGCTTGTTACTTTTGCTATGCTACGCCTAGCTCTGCGGAGTGCAAAGCTTTGCCGAAGTCCAATAGAGCTGAAGCCCAGCAGGGTCCAAGCACTGAGAGTGTAAAAGGCTGCACAGGAGAAGTAGAAGACTGTTTCCCCATGGGCCATGGTCCAGTAGTAATAGGGTTTCAGGTTGAGTATGCTTGGGTCGGTTCCCGGGATTTGGGTAGTGTGCCCCCTGTCCCTGCGGATGAGGCCTCGCTCACAAAGGGTTGCCCCTAAACCCTTTTTGGTAAGTACTCTTCCTTGGTGCTTGGATGCTCTGGGAAGTAGCCTGGCAGACAAGATTGGCAGTGCTCGGACTTGCAGGCTCGGACTCCTCTGCGTTAGACATATTTAGACCCTGAACTCCGCACTACCCAACACGTTCCACCAAGCCCCCTTAGTTGGGCAGAGGCCAAGCCCTAAACCCTAAACCCTCAAACGTGCACTTCCGATCGGGAGCTGCAACACATCTTTGTAGGCTGGCGGCCGCTGCACTTTAGGGTTTAGGGTTTAGGGTTTAGGGTTTAGGGCTTGCTCAGAGAAGTAGCCGCGACTGGATCTGCATTCAGGCCACCATGCATCAACTCCTTGTGCCACAAGTGGAAGTGCCACCTTGTGAGTCAGTCCCGACCATCGGGGCGTTTCACCGTGCCCAATCAACAATTCCTTGCTTGGCCCATTCTGTCCCCCTTGGGGATAATTTTCATTCTTTGTTTATATAAAACCCACAAGAGGACATTAGAAATTATATTTTATTAAGGTTCTAAGGGGAGTATAGCCATGGGTTGCAGAACTTAGGGCTTCTGAGGTGTGGATGGGGCCAGGCACATACGCTTGCAATTGGACCTTTGCTTTGCAAACTAGTCCAGAGTGAGCGGTTTGAGACAAGCAACAGCCCAGAGCTCACGATCCGGGTTTGTAAGCGCATGAGGGTTTCGGGTTTAGGTAAAACCCTAAACCCTAAACCCTAAACTCTAAACCCTAAACCCTAAACCTCATGTGTTTGTGAGCATCTCGTGGTTTGGATGGATGAGTTGAGGAAGGGGTCGGATCGCCTTGAAAAAGCTCCTCCTGGGGCAAGTAACACCCACGGCACTTTTTTTGGTGAGAGGCGAAGCCCTTTTCTTGGGGTTTAGGGTTTAGGGTTTCGGGTTTTGGGTTTAGGGGCGTGGGGTTGAGGGAGTTGGGGGGGGGGGGGGGGCAGCCGTTTCACGAGGGGGCCCGGTGCAAGGGGTATCCTGCCGAGTTTGGGGATGTTGGCACGTGCGCGGGGGGATCCTAAACCCTCGCACATCGACCAAACTTAGTCCTAAACCCCACAACCCTTACAGACATTACACCCCGTACAGCAATCACAGCAAGAATGCCCAAGGAGCATTTCCGGTAAAGTCCCTTTCATTAGGCTTGTAGTGGCATTGGCCAGGTAGGCCTGGATGAGAGGTCATTCAGAACGTTTGAAGATCGAACCTGGCAGTGTATATGCTCGTTACGCTTGCTACTATGTATGTATATATGTATATACTATGGATCCCTTAGGGTTTCGAACTCGAAGACCTTATAAACCTTGAGTTCGTAGGCCCTAGAAAGCTCTCAGCAGTGCTCTTAGCCCTGAGCTTCAAACCATGAACCTCAAGAAAAGAATAGCCAAAAGTTCACACGGGGTCCCGAAAGTCCGCCGTGGGAGGGGAAGGGAGGTTCTGTGCTTTGGGTTTTCGGGTTGGGCACCTTGGGGCAAAAAGCTGGCAACCAAGCCACTCCCTGCGCGTATGTATTGGGTTGTAGCCAGTCGGATCTGATTTGTGATCCAGTTGCGGACAGGATTCTAACGGCCGCTCGGGGGTGGCTCAAGGTACTCACCGGTTTCCGGGGAGATACCTTCCTATTAGCGAACCAGGGGAAATCAAAGCCGAGGTGAAATCGAAGTCAATGCGAGGAGTTCCCCCCTCCCTTGTGCAAGCGGGTGCTGACATGGTACTGCGTAAAGACTAAATTCCTACCCTCAGCCCAAACCATCATGTATAGCGCTCTTTAGCCTCAAAGTCTGAACCTCAACCGTGCTTCCAACCGGATACCAGATCTCCTCCCCAAACCCCGCCTCCAAGCCTCCTTGTCTCACCCTTATCCAGACCAATGTTCCGGGTGCGGCACCTCGCCTGTCCTCAGTTTTCTGTTCGGAAGAAGACAGTGAGGAAATATGACATCCAGGTTATTGTTGCGGGGCGTGTCAGCAAGAAGCTGTTGAGCCACTACGTCAGTAGCAGCTCGTTTACTACATCCGCAGGATGCGACATGCTGAGGGTCTGGGGGGTTGATGCGTTTCGCCCGGACTGCACTCCGAAGATCTTGAGTACTCGCAAGTCTTCGTGCAACTATACAGGCATTGCGACCAGTGTTCCTTTGACATTCCAAGCTAAACCCCAAACCCTAAACCCTAATGACTTCGAAGAAACACAGCATACTAGGCCCTTCCTCATCTGACACGGTGCACACATCAGCCAGTATCGGCAAACAAGCACGCCGAAAGCATGAACACCCTGCCAAAGCCCTCCATGCACAAAGCAAACCACCCCAAAGCGCCTTTTGAACCTTCGATACGAACATCCGAAGCCCTTCCCAACATCACTATGAGACATCTCTGCACCCCCGAAACCCTGAACCCTTCACCCTTAACCCTTAAACCCTAAACCCGAAACCCTCGACCCTAAACCAAAAACCCTAAGCAATAGACCTTACATGGATCCTCTCTCACCTCCCCCCCCCCCCCCCCCCTTCCCCCCCTCCCCTTTCCCTCTTTTCCCACCTTTTTTTGAAGCAAAGGAGCCCATGACATGGCTTCCCTGGATCCTGGCCTGCTTTGAGCCCAAACCACCTTTTCAGGCTTTAGGGGTTTAGGGTTTTAGGGTTTTAGGTTTTAGGGTTTAGGGTTTTAGGGTTTTAGGGTTTTAGGGTTTAGGGGTTTAGGGGTTTAGGGTTTTAGGGTTTAGGATGATTGGCGCGGGTTCAAAAACAAAGGTTTAGGATGAGGGTTGTGGGGTTATAGGGTTGAGGAACAGAGTTTAGGAGGGTTAGGAGGTGTTGGGGGTGTCTGACTCTCTTCAGGGTTTTGGGTTTTGGGCGTTCTCCTTTGCGATGAAGTCAGTGGTAAGTGGGTTCAGAAGCTGGAGGCCTTGGAACCTCCTGCTGTGTGAAAACCGCATGGCCTGAACATGTCGCAAAAACGTCTGGAGGGGTAGGAGAGGTGGGAGGGTGTGACCCTCTTTGGGGCAGACTTTCTACTTTCCACTACCAGGGCCTGAGCGGAAGAGAAAGCACCCCTTCTCGGATCGCTGCCTTGAAAGGAGGTCGAAGAGTTCCTGATCTGCCTCATGCTTTGGGATGTTCCCCCTTATGTTAACAATCCTCAATAGTGATGAGAACACGGGGTTCTATCATCCCTATTGAGGACTGTTAGTATAAGGGGGAACATCCCAACTCATGCTGGTAGTTGAAGCTTCAGGGTTCAGGGTTTATCGGAGCTAGCTTATGAGATGGCCGAACCCGGGTTCTTCCGGTTCCCTTGCCCCTCAATGTTGTGACCCTGCAGGACAGGGCTTCGAGGGTTTTGAGGCACAATGAGCTTTAGGGTTTAGGGTTTAGAGGGTTTAGAGGGTTTAGGGTTTAGGGTTTAGGGCCATCTCCTGAACCTCCCACCATGTACCCGCGCATGACCTCTCCACTGGGAAGACGTCAAGCTCAAGCCCGGTAGGAACAGAGTTGGCCAAAAGATGTCACCCGCTCTGGACGCCATGGACATGACTCTCCGTGGAAAGGCCCCCAATGCCCTTGTTCCTCCTCCGCACGTGCCGCGCTTCGGGAAAAGCCACATAGAGATCTCCATCCCACAAGATCCTGCCGATGCACATGCCTACCCACCAGAGGCTGTTCAGGTCGGCCCCTCAGGGCACTGCCCCATTTTGGTTCTCACTGTGTTGTGTTACCGGAATTTTCTTCCTGGGGTGTCGCAAAGGATCCTAAAGCATCAACGAACGACTTCAGGTCCGCAATACCTTCATCCATGTCGCGAGTCCCGGACAGGGAGCCGAAGAGGAGATTGTCAAGAATGCCGTCTCCTGCCCGGCGGCTGGGCTGTGCTTAGGGCGTTCGGCTTTCGTTCAGTGCGGGAGCTAGGTTCTAAGAAATGCTCAACATACCCCGTGGGAACACCCGTTACAAGAATTTCACAGGTACGGTAAAATCCTTCTATTCTCCGTTTTTAGGTTACGGGGTATGGGTTTGGGGTATGTTGAAGTATTGAAGTATCCTTAGATGGGAGTTGTTTGTGGCTTTTGGGGGCATGTACACTCACTTGCTCCTCTCCTTGGGGACCAAATGAAGAAGCCTGAACATTTTTGGGGCCATATACCCTATCCTACTATAATGCCTATCGAAACCCTAAATTTGGGGCTATATACCTTGCACTACTATGCTGGAACTCCTATTCTTAAAGTGTATGAACCCTAAACCCTAAACCCTAAACCCTAAGCCTGCGATGCGGATTCGCCCCAGCTGTGCAGAAGGGAAAAAACCCTAGACCCTAACCCTAAACCCTAAACCCTAAACCCTAAACCCTAAACCCTACCAAGGCAAGCCACGTGGGATGGATCCAGAAGCTCTTTACCGAGGAGGAGGTCGAGGCATGTCAGGCCCCCAAGGAGACTTGGCCCAATTGGGGGCTTAGGGTTTAGGGTTTAGGGTTCAGGGGTATGTTTTTTTGTTTCCAATGTTTTCCCTTACTTCTTGGGTTGAAGAGGACCCTACAAACCCTATGAACCCTATGAACTATGAACCGTTTTAATCTTACAAACCCTGTAAACCCTAAAAACCAGAAGAACCCCTAAGCCCTCAACCCTCAACCGTACAAACCATTAACCCTCGAATCACCCTAAACCCTAAACCCAAAACCCTAAACCCTGCACCATAACGGGCCATCCGAGGAGAAGCCCGTGATCAGCTTGGAGGAGACGCTCATCTTCGACGTGCCAAACACTCCGCCTCCTGGCTGAGAGTGTTGCCTTAAGCACGCTTACTAGGGTTTAGGGTTTAGGGTTTAGGGTTTAGGGTTTAGGGTTTAGGGTTTAGGGTTTAGGGTTTAGGGTTTAGGAACCCTACACCCTAAACCCTAAACGTGTTTGCTGGAACAGTCTGCCAGGCAAGAGGAGCCGACACGAGCAACCGCGTATGCAGCCCGTGAGAGCGGCAAGCAGTGGCTGGCGACGCAGCCTCCCCAACAGCCCGTGCCACCCGTGCACCTTGTACGTTCTGAAGATAGGGTTTCGGGTTCAATTAGGGTTCAGGGTTTAGGGTTTAGGGTTTAGGGTTTGGGGTTTAGAGCCAAAGTTTAGGGTTTAGGGCACGTGTTCATGAGCCGTCATTTGAGGGTTTAGGCAGGGCGAGCTGGACCGTGATACATATAGGGTGACCTCGACGGCGAAAGCAGCGTGTCCTGGACTCCTGGACTTTTCACGGGCAGCTTAACTAAGTAACTACTGTAAGTCATCCCACACACCCTTTTCGACTCCGACAAGATCGTGAAGCTGCCATGAAACCTCAACTCAACATGTTAATGACACAAAAGTTTCTTTTTTTAGCATGCATATGGTGGGGCAATGTTGTAGGCAGAGTCTCGCAGCAGTGCTTTCGTGATTCTAGACGGCAATGCCATGCACATGCTGCCCGTCCCGTGGTCGGAGTTCCCTCACCCCTCTCACCCCCCTCCCCCCCCCCCAACAAACAAAAAAAGAAAATAAAATTAAAAAAAAACAGAACAATATTGGTTGATCACCATGCCATGAGTGTGTATATATATGTATATTTATTTTTTATTTATTATGTGTTTTTCCTTCCCTGGATCATAAAACCACTGTAAATCTTAAGCCAAGTCCCAACAACTGGAAAGCCCTGAAGCCAAACGCCCTAAAGGGCGGGCTTTCGAAGGTTCAGGGTAGTGATAGGTATGCGTTTATATTATATGTACCCGACTTGATGTTAAAACTATGCTTAACTCCTACTTCCAACTGCCCATTGGGAAAAATGAAAAAATGCCATGGAACCAGTAGAGATTGTGCAAGGCACGACGCCGGGCTGTGCCCTCCGCGGGCACCCGCTCCTTGCGAGCCCTCGCCGTGCTACGGAGGTGAGGAGTCATATATGCCCTACAGGACGCTTGGCCCCTAAACCCTAAGCCCTAAGCCCTAAACCCTAAAAGGATCCTTTTCTGTGGTTGTCAGGCTTCATTTGCACGAGACTTTTGTGTGGTTTGCTGCAAGCATTGGGGTTGACATAGTAGATGATGGAAGGAGTAGGTATATGTATTCTGGGGACGCTTGTGCAGCTGGTTTGAGTGCTTCTAGGATGTACAAGGTAGAAGGTTCAAAGGGATACTGGGAGCCTCAGCTTCAACATCTTCATTGACCTAGGGTACCCTAAAGAACAGCCGAGGATGTATGAGGAGCCATGGATTCCAGCACCGAACCCTATGGCACCCATGCATGATCCACAGATGTGCCCCCCTCCTCACCCTGTTCCATGCGAGCCGACACCCGGGTTCTACCACCACGCGCCACCAGAACAGCACCAGGTACCCCCCATGCCAATCCCATGCGAGCACCCCCACGGGTTCTACCACGCGCCGCCAGAACAACACCAGGCACCCCCCATGCCAATCCCGTGCGAGCCTCCCCACGGGTTCTACCCGCCCCCAATGCACGATCCACACATGTGCCCTCACCCTCATCCAGTTCCGTGTGACCCGCCAACGGCATTCTATCATCCGGTCCCAGAGCACGCCCCGCCTATGCCAATGCCTTGCGAGCCCAGGCCAGGATTTTACCATCCTCCCCCGGAGGAGCCTCGGCCCATGATGCCAGTTCCATGCGAGCCCAGGCCTGGATTCTACCATCCTCCGCCAGGGCCCATGATGCCAGTCCCATGCGAGCCCACGCCTGGCTTCTACCATCCTCCTCCCCTCCCAGCCCCATGCGAGCCCACGCCTGGGTTCTACCATCCCCACCCAGAGGAGCCCCATAGGCCGATGATGCAAGTCCCCTGCGAGACTACCCCTGGGTTTCTTAGTAGCTGAGTGAGCACACTTTACACTTTTTGGGATGCGAGAATCCCTATAGAACTGAAAGTGTACACTTTTTTTTGGGGGGCTTATGAGCTCAGCAACTAAGGTTTTACCATCCTCATCCAGAGGAGCCCCGAAATCTCACGATGCCAGCTCCACGCGATCCCGGCTTCTACCCTCCCCGCCCAGATGAGCCGCGGGGGCCGCTGGCCACCTATCCGCAAGAGGAGCCAAGGTCATGCTGGCAACGCGTTTTTTGGTTTATCATTGTTGTTATAATTCTTACTCGTACTACACATAGATATATATTTGTTTATTTTACTTTTGATTTATTTATTTATTCATTGATTTAAGTCGGTTCAACATTGCATCAAGTGACCCACTCCACCGCACCTTGAGTCTAAAGTCCCGGTATCTGACTTTCATTGACTACCCTGCGGGCTCTTGATCAAGAACTCCTCAGCTCCCCACACTAGGGGCCCATGAGGGATGTTCTTATAAGTCCTTTTTGGAATCCTTGTTATGAGCGTAGTATGTAGGGGATCCCAAAAAGAGACCAACATGTAGAAAACTGCCCTTATAAAGCGCTTATGTCAAGCCCAGGACCCGTGCCGGCGCGATTGGCGTATGCCCGAGGCCCAGCCGGTCCGACAGGAGGAGCCGCCAGCAAACGCGAAGATCGGTGTGGAGGATCTTCCGCCGTACCCTGGTTCTGTATCCCCCTTGGGAATTATCCTTTTATTAAGGTTCTAAGGGGAGTATAGGGTTGGGTCTCTACGGTAACTAGAAGGCCTAGCTCATCTAACCCATGTTCGAGTGTCAGCTCAGGAGCTTTGTGAGTGCCCTTTGACACCTTATAAACGCCCAAACCCTATAGACCTGCAACGGCTGCTTGGCAGCCAGGTGGCAGCAACCCTTCTACTCGACACCTCGTAACACCCTTTGATGCCCGCAAGAAGGTTTTTTGTGGGTCTTAGTTACTTGAGTTTACAGACGTTACAAATACATGTATATATATATGTTATGTATATCCATGTGTGTATGGTGTAGTATGTATGTATGTATGTATGTACGTATGTATGTATGTATGTATGTATGTATGTATGTATGTGTGTATGTGTGTATGTGTGTATGTGTGTATGTGTATATGTATGTATGTATGTATGTATGTATGTATGTATGTATGTATGTATGTAGGTATGTATATATATATATATATATATATATATTCTACATATATACATACATGTAAATATATATATATATATATGTACACCATAGATATCAGCTGTAGGATTTTGTTGAAGCCGAGGTGTCCCCCTTCCATCCAAGTGCCCTCGGCTCCAGCCCCGGGTTCGGCAGAGCTCCCTTCGATCGGCTCTGATGGCCACAAGACGGGGGCCGCGTGTCGCTGAGTTGGTTTTTTGTTGGTTTCTTTGTTGGTTTCTTTGTTGTTGCTTCGTGGACATGGTATGTATATATATATACACACATATATATATATATATATACACTTCATGTATGTGTATATACATATATGGATTCATGCGATATTTGCTTCTTCTTTCTTTTTGACTATTATGGGAGGTGGGGAGAAGGGGGCGGGGAGGGTGGGGAAGGGAAGGCGGAGGGAACTTGCCAGTCTAGGCAGACAAGTGGGACAGTTTTTGGTCACTGTGCATATGTTGTTGTCTTGTGTTGTGCCTCTTCAGGCATGTAAGGTGTCCTGATTCCTTCCAGCTTGCTGGAGAATCAATTCAGCAAGTAGATCAGAGAGCCGACAAACAGATTTTCACACACCAGCTGCGAGACCGCGGGGTTTAGGGCAGTTGCGCCCAATAAACCCCAAGCAAACGGAAGACTTTTGAACGCGTGCAAGTGTGAATCATTGAGGATTTGCGAAGCATGGGTGACGTTGTGCAACTGCAGGCAGATCTTGGTCAATCGCGGTCAAACGCTAAACCTATCAATCCTCAACCCCTGCGTCTTGAAAGAGGACTGAAGGCGGTGTGGCCGCAAAGCACGGCAACGAAGAGCCGGAAACAGCCCAGCTCATCTAATCTTAAACCGTAAAGCTTCCTTCCGCTTTAGAACTTCGGAGCCTAGAAGCTCCCACCCTCAAAGCGTTTAGGGTTTAGGGTTTAGGGTTTAGGGTTTAGGGTTCCCCCTACCCCCAGCTGTCGGAATCTAAGGAGTGCCGCCCTTGCGCCTTTTTGTATGCCAAGGGTTGCCAGAATGGTGCCATGTGCCTCTTCTGTCGCCCGCCTGCCCTCATGCACAGCTGCTATTGGGTTTAGGGTTTAGGGTATAGGGCTTAGGGTTTGTCTCAAGAATTCTTGATTCTTCGCATTTCGGGCTGTGGTCTCCGGTGTTAGATGACGAGGCTGGTGAAATGGTGCCATTGTCGGATCTACTGGGGACTTTGAAAGCTTCAGGGAGATGCCCAGCAATCGACAAAACAGTGACCGCACAACCATACACCGACTGTCCCCTAAACCCTAAACCCTAAACTACCCTAAACCCTGATCCGTGTCCAATCAGAAGCCAAGGCCACTTGTGCGATAAAGGCGAGAAGAAGAGGCGGCAGAAGGCGAAGAAGGCCTCCTTCCAAGGAGGAGCGTGAGATTGGGATTCTAGGGTTCGATGAAATTGGGCGGACGTGTGCCCCGGGCCTCAAGACGTTCGGGTTTGACGTGTAGTAGCTAGGACATTGATGGCAGTACCTTACAGAAGGACGTGCCAGAATTCTGAATTAGGGGACCTACCAAGGGGTCGCCTGGCAAACGCATATAGAATTCGGCATCGGCGCTGAGACGAGGTCGACTTTAAAGAAGCCCTACAGTAAACCTTAGTTGCAGCGTAGGTAACCTTCAACCTTCTTGGGGTGATATAATCCCCTTATAGTCTCAAAGGTTAACCTGTAATGTAGAGTAGGTAACCTTTAACCTTTTTGGGGTAATAAAATCCCCTTATAGTCTCAAAGGTTAACCTTTAATTCCCCTACGTTACTGGACAACTAGGAATCGCCCGAAGCATCCCGCAAGACACAGCGTGAACGATCAGGACCTCCCCAGTCCGCCGCAGGGTTTAGGGTTTAGGGTTTAGGGTTTAGGGTTTAGGGTTTAGGGTTTAGGGTTTAGGGTTTCGGGGGATGAGGGGATCCCGAAAGAACAGGCTGGGTCGTTCTGAAGGTCTTGGCATGCCAAGGTGTGCGTTAGCGTGAAAAATCTATAGGTCTATCCTCTTTCGCTGAGTGCCGGTGGGCCAGACTTTGCCTCAATGAAGGCAAGCGGCCATGTTTTTTTTTTGAGCTGCGTGCGCAGGCCACCAGTCGAGCAGTGGGGATGCCCTGTCCTGGTTAACGTTAGGGCTCGTCTCTATTTTGGCTGCCCGAAATAAGGGTCTAATTGAAAGGCCAAGAGGACAGCAGCCTCCTCGCAACCGGCTGGCAGATGGGATCCCAGGCAGGCCAATACAACGGCAACTACTCAAGTGTTCCACACGCTCGGTTTCAGAGTATATGGCTCCTTCCTTCCTCTTTGCTGAGGTTGAGGTTCCCTTCCTTAGTAGTAAAGTAGGTAAGCTTTAACCTTTTTGGGGTAATAGAATCCCCTTCTAATCCCAAAAGGTAACCTTTAGTTCCCCCTATAGGTACTGGACAACTAAGGTTCCATAAGCCCTTTCCAACAAAAAGGGCGCATTTGTAGCTTCCTCCTCTGAGGCATTCTAGAGCCCGAAGTCCAAAAGCCCACACCTTATGTCCCTGGGTTTGCTGAGAACAAACCCTAAACCCACAACCCTAAACCCTAAACCCTAAACCTTTCGAGTACGAGTCCAGGATCGGGTTACGATTTGATGACCAGCCGGGTTCCCATGATCGGACGCTCAAAGCGCCCCCTTTCCATGGGCAGTGAGGGGCTAGCCAGAAACCCCGCAACACAGGGCTTTCTCGTCAACATCAGGATTCAGGGTTTCGAGGGTTTGTCGGGCTCAAGAACTTCTGAAGGTTGAGGAGTCCCCCCCCCAAACCTTAAGCCCGGAACCCTAAATCACGGTTCCTCAACGTGAAGGGCCATCAGCCGCTTCGCAACTCGCAGTCGCTCTAAGCCCCCAGTGGAGTCAAATGTTATGGCTTTATATGGAGGATTCAGAAAGGCTATTAGGGTTTAGGGTTTACGGTTTACGGTTTAGGGTTTAGGGTTTAGCGCAGTCTTGAGTTTGTGCACTGCGGATGACAAGGGTGGGCAAGGCTACCCTGGTCCGGCCCCTGATTGCCTGAACTTTGTACTTCATGAGTGGTCCGGCAGACATGCCCCGGACCCACCAGCAGCAAACAGCAGCCAAATGTCGTTCACTTGCACGCGCCTCGCGTGACAAAAATGCCCTCATGGTTCCAGTGCCAGCGCGCAAAGAGCCTTCTAAAAGCGGAGAGCCTGCTTGGAGTTTAACGGCTTCAACTGCAGACCTCCTAAACCCGGTAAGGTTGCTTGGGCTTGGAGCAGTTGGACCTAAACCATCAGCGCTGGCGAAAAGGTCTTCAAGGAAGACGAAACACCCTAAACCCTAATTCAACCCTACAGCAGAAACCCTAAACCCTAAACCCTAAACCCTAAACCCTAAACCCTAAACCTCCGAGGCTTTATAACCTCTCTTCGACCCAGTGATGGCTTGACAACTGCACAGTTCTTCGGCCTGGGACTCGGCTACCGGGCGGTGCCTTGGGGGACCACATGAACCCTGAAAGGTTTAGGGTTTAGGGTTTCGGGTTTAGGGTTTAGGGTTTAGGGCCCATATACCATAAGAGGAGTTATTGTAGTATAGGGAACAATTTCCAGCACCCTTTTTGGGTTTGTGGCTCATATTTCCTTAATAGGAATTATAGTAGTTCATATTGCCTTACTACGAATCATAGTAGTATAGGGAACAGTTCCTCCAGTTTTAGGGTTCATGTGATCCGCAGGGGGAGAAGCTTGGTAGGGATTCGGGGTTTTGAAGTCATGAAGGCAAGAGCTTCAGTGGTTGAGGGGTGCTGGGCCTCGTGAGTGATGTCGTTGGATCTTTCGACAGGTGGCGGAGGCACCTGCACGAGGCGAGATTGGCGATGCAGTTCTCGCCACTCCGCGAGCCGGAATAGCTGTAGACGCCTCAGCAAAGAGGATCGCCCGCGCGGGCCGGTTTGCTGGCTGGTCATAAGCAGGAGCCCCCATTTTATATCGTCATGGGCGGAAAGTCGGATGCGCACCGAGCAACAGCTTCTGAGCCAACTGCCGCGCCTCTCAGACCTAATTACAGTGTGCTTGGCTTCTCCGACTTCTCCTCGCTATGTGCGCATCGCCACGGGCCAACCACGCGTTGCGCACGGTGACACCACTTGACATAGCAGGCTATGCCCAGGCCCACGACGACGCCATCTAGCGGACCATGCCGGCCTTGGCGGAGTCGCGTCAGGCGAAATCCGTACGGCGCCCGCTGCGTACGGGGCGGCGTGGGCTGACTCACTCCCTGTTTTTGCAGGATGCGATCCTTACCCTATGTACTCCACACACCAGTCCCCTTGACTGTGGGGCAGCAAGGGGGCATAGCTCGATCAGGATGACGGGCTACACCCTAAACCCTAAACCCTAAACCCTAGGGAACTTTCTGACATGCGTAGTGTCATCAGGTGGCAGCGGCGTGGACTGTCCACTTCCCGATTCCGCCGAAGCCACCGACGTGTCTGTGCATCTTGGCCGCCTAGCGCCCGAGCATTTCCCAAACTAGCCCCCAAATTTCTATAATCCGTATTGGAACCCCCCCCCAAAAGAAAGGGTACCCCTATTCGCCACCGCACCCTGGAGATCTGCTCGGGCATAAAGAAAGCAACACCCTCCGGAGCCCCCAAAACCCAAGGTAACCCGGTGAAAGACGTCCAGCACCACCCTACATACCTTGGTATTTAGAAATTCTAGTGCTATAGGGTATATGACCCCAGTTTTAGGGTTCAGTTGGTCCCCAAGGAAGAAACAGGGTCGAGGGTGCAATTCTCGTCGCGTGATCGCGTCAATTCCTTTGTCATTCTGCTCGGCCAGGCACTGCTTGGACAACGAAACAGGATATGTCATGGAGTGTGTCTGGCCTAGGGCGTGTCACACCTTCTTGAGGGGTCCTGAAACATGTGCCTGCGCGGAGTGGCGACTGAGACAGCCAGGCGGGTGGCCAAAAAGCAGCAGCCCTGAACCCTAAATCCTTAAACCCTCAATCCTAAACCCTTGAACCCTGAAACCCTATCCTTTAACCCTTGATCCCTGAAACCCTTAAACCCTCAAACCCTCAACCAAAAACCCTAAACCCTTAAACCCTTAAGCCCTTAAGCCCTTAAGCCCTTAAGCCCTTAAGCCCTTAAGCCCTTAAGCCCTTAAGCCCTTAAGCCCTTAAGCCCAAGGCCTTGCCCTTAAACCCTTTAACATCCTTAAACCCTCTAAACCCTAACCCTTCGCCAAGGGACGTCACCGAGCAGTGGCCCTCGGGTGGCCCCATCGTCCCGCGATGCCTCCTGGCCGAGGAGATGCTCAGCCAGCAGTTGTTACCCTAAACCCTAAACCCTAAACCCTAAACCCTAAACCCTAAACCCTAAACCCTAAACCCTAAACCCTAAACCCTAAACCCTAAACCCTAAACCTAAACCCTAAACCCTAAACCCTAAACCCTAAACCCTAAACCCTAAACCCTAAACCCTAAACCCTAAACCCTAAACCCTAACCCTAAAGCTTAAACCTTAAACCCTAAACCCTAAGGGGTTTTTGGGGGGCGCCGGCTTAGAGGGGGGGCGTTAGGATTCTTTCTTTTTTTGGGGGGAGGGGAGGGGGCAGGGAGCGGGGGGAGGGGGGCGAATAGGGAGTTTTGAGAGCATGGGTCCGTGGGCTTGCCAGCTGAGCCTAGTCTAAAAGGCTTGGAACTGTGCCTGTTCAGGTGTGGCTTTCATGGATGAAGTTCTGCGTCCACCTTCCCCATACGGCACATAATATGCTTGCCTCTCGATACGTGGGATATCCGCCTGCGCAATGCCCCGGTTTCAATCGACCCCCTTGCTCGGCTTGATCCTTAAGCGAGGCCGTTCCCTTCAGGCCAGATCTCCGGGTCTTGGTCATCCCTCCAATCTAAGTCATTCCCTGAATATCCAGGCTGATGGAGGGCAGCCAAAGACCTAAAAGTTCAGGGTTCAGGGTTCAAACCTTCAAGGACTTTCATGACCCACTCAAGAGTTGGCCTTGTGACTCTTTGCCGAGCATCCCCGAACATCCAACCTGGCCTGAAGACGGTTTTTTCGGAGCCTTTTGAGGCTCCGTTACCGAGTGAGGACGATGCATCCGCCCCAAACACTGTACTGAAGTCTCCCTTGTCATCATTGGGGGAATCCACCCCAACCCGACTGGCGGCCTTATTCCCATTTAGTGTTATAACCCTTGCTAGATTGATTAGCCATGAATGGGGACCTTTTTGTCCCGAGGATTCTTGGTGTTGGGAACCCAGTACTCACACCTCAAGATTGTCAAAACCCAACCGACCCAAAAACGCCAAAGCCAAGGAACAACAGCGAGGTTGCCCCTCAAATCCTGGACTTTTTTCCCAAAGTCGGCGTGGCAG